CCTAGAACTTGGAATGTACTGAATGTGCATGCAGATACCTGCTCCATGTGAACGGCCAACACTACACCTCAGCGAGCTGCAGGTCATCAGTTATCTTTCCCTGTTGCTTACCATCCAGAAACCTGATTACTACTGACCATAAATGGCCTTTTTCCCAGAAAACAATTAACTTTTCTTCCATACTGACCAACCTCTGCAGCTACACCCCAGTCTGGTTGGCCATCACTGCCCTTCAGCTCCACGTATGGCTTCTCATGCACTCGGATGAGATCTTCATGAAGACCATCCAAGAGAAAAGCCAGAAGTTCCTGGGAGTCCTGTTGCTGGAACCCATTAAATTGGGGAGCATATGTTGCTATGGTCCACTATAAATATAAGAGGAATCAAACTCATTACTTGCTATCTCTATATCTCTATATATGTATATATCTATATATCTATAAAATTTAGAATGAACATGCCCATAATTCAATCCGAGCATTAGAAGAAGGTAAATAGTATTTAGTCTGTGTCTATTTCAGCAAATATATTTTAGATAATCATGAAATCTTTCTAATCTTAATCTCAGATGACCCCTCTTCTCCCTCTAAAAAGTATTATGGCCAATACTGGGTTCCAGTTTAGTATCATGTGAGCAAACATTTCTTTAGGTACACAGATGCTACTTAAGACAGAAATATTAAAATAGCATTTTCTCACACCAAAAGATCCCTTATACTATTTCTTTTACAGTTAGCTTTGCTGGTCTTGTTGCATCCTAACTTTTATTATTAGAGGCAAGATAGCCTTGTGTTTACCTGTGGGGACTTATACTAGCTTGCAGCTTTGGACAAGCTATTTAAACTGCTAAAAGCCTGTTTCCTGAGCCACATGGTGAAGATAATAACACTACTTTATATTATAGGGTCATTTAGAAGATTAAATTAGTTAATATACATAAAGTAATTAGAAAAGTGGCTGGTAAGTTGTAAGTAGCCAATTTTAACCTACTATGATTATTAATTTTTGACCTAAAAA